CTGAAACTTTTGTAGGTGTCGAGATATTGCGAGAAAAAAAAATCTTCATCCAAATACAGCATTTCTGCTCTTTAAATAGTTTTGAGTGGGGGAAAGTTTGCTTAGATTGTCAATATTGTTAGCCGGTTTCATACAGAGCATGATTCCCAGTTTACTGAACTTATCGAAGTGAGCAAGACCGCATGCTGTGTTTAAAAGGGATAGAATTATGTTGAAAGTTGTGGGTAATCGCTATAGAAATTGCAAGGTGACAATGTACTCGAGTTTTGAAGGAGTTTTAAAGAAAAATCATTGTTTTGTTAGCTAAGGTAAATATATATTTAATAAAATTTCATTGTTTAGCTTCTAAAGAAACACAATTAGTATACACTGAGCGAGTTTTTTCTTTTTCCCAGATCTTTTAAATGGTTTGAAATATTGAAAGTTTTTCACAAAGTTGAACCGGAACAAAGTCCAGTCAAAGGGTGCGGTAATTTGCTCTGTTGCAGAAGTTTTTAATTCAATCAGCTTTGGGTTTTAATGGAATTAGATCTTTGTTTGAGGCACATTGGAAAGAAATGGAGAAAATGAAATCCTTGCGGTAAACAGTAACGCGACTTGCTAAAAAATGGACGAAAATTGAGAAATTCATCCTGCTGAAATTCATATTCACAGAGATTGCGGGATGGTGCTTCGTCTACAGGTAGCTATTTGGTTCTTACGATACGATTTTCCCCTCAAACTGTTTGCTATTTTCATTCGTTTGCGATTACTTGAAAATATTACAAGTTTTTACGTGAGACAAATATTTCTCCCTATTCCTTACGTGTCTAATCGGGATAGAAGTTTTCAGTTTTTTGCAATCGCTTTGAGGGAGACGAGGTTGTCTGGCGGATGAGCAAGCGAAGACTTTCGGAGGGAGCGCTAGAGCGTCCTGTGTTGTCCCGTTACCGGCCAGCGTCCTCATTTGAGGACGCACATTTCTGTTTAACTCAAATTTGCTTCTTTAGCGAATTGTGCGAATTTTATTTCTTAGATAGACCGTTATATCCTAAACGATACTTACACGCAAGCGTTTTCATTCCTGATTGGCAGATGTCGATTTAGTCGTGACTGCAAAAGCATTGTACAATCCTAGCCAGGGTGCATTCATGACTTGCGTCGGTACGAAGCTTCATCTAAGACCGTGCTTAGCTTCTATATGCCTGAGGTCTAGTCGGAGGGAGAGACCGGTGTGAAGAAAACGGTGTTTGGTCCGCACCGAAACTGACGCGACATGTGCAGCTAAGTTCTAACGGATTTGCTACCTTCAATTTAAAAAAAGTCATAAATGGTCAATTATGTTAAAAATGTCCTCTCGAAGCACATACTTTTTCAATATAGAGATGTTTCGAAATAAATGTTACAAATGTGTAAGGTGTATGATCCTTTCCGCGCGTAATTGAGAAGAGTCGTGTTTGTCTATAAATCATCTTGGGACTCCTTTCCTTCAACCTGAAATTTCAACGGATTCAAAAAACACATCTTCTCACCTCGCCATTCTGACAGAAAAATATTGGGAAATTGTTAGATAATTAAAATGTAATTAGAACCAAACTGTTCGATTTGAACGAAAGGGAAGATGGAGGCATAGTGGGAAGTACAATTCAACTACAGGTCAGGTCTTCTACAAAATTGATAGTAAAACTAATTAAATATATTAATAATATAGGCAAACGACAAAAACCCTGAAAAATACAGTAAACGGTCAGCAACTTCCAATCCCATAGGAACAAAAAAAAATCGATTCTGGAATCAGTCTCTGCTGCCTCTTATCATACTCTGCCTGCATCTCTGTGGCTCTTACCTTTCTCTGTCCATCTGTCCGTCTCTCTCTTTTGTCTCTGTCTGTCTGTCTGTGTCTTGACTCTCTCTCCGTCTTTCTCTCTCTTTCTCCCTCTCTCTCTCTCTCTCTCTGTCTATATATCTTCTGTCTCTTTGCCTGATGTTTGTCTCTCTTCGTCTCTGTCTGCCTCGTTTGCCTCTGTCTCTGTATCTCTCGGTTTGTTTCTCTTTATCTGTCCGTCTATCTATTTATCTTTGTCTACCTCTTTGTCTCTCTGTCTCTGTCTGGCTCTCTATGTGTCACTATCTGTCCCTGGTTCTCTGTGTGTCACTCTCTGTCTCTGTCTGGCTCTCTGTGAGTCACTGTCTCTCTCACTCTTACTTACGCGCACCGTCTCTGTTTCTATTACTCTCTGCATCTCTCCGTCACTCTCCGCTCTCTCTCTTTCTCTCTGTGTACGCGTGCCCGTCCGGTTCGCCTGGGCCGCGCCCTGCGTCACACGGCAACGCAACGATGAAGCTCGTGTGGATCGCAGTTTGAATGGAAATTGAATTAAAACGAAGCGCTATTTGGTTCTGCAGCGCCATATATTAGAGTTACAGCAAAATTAATAGCACATAAACCATCTCGGTGAAAAAACACGTAGATGTACCAACTTAGTCCCACGGTGTCGGAGTTTACCGTTTCTAATATATACCAAAATCATATTTATATAAATAGATTCATCACCACCTATTTTGTTAATAAAAACTGAGTTTCTACGGCCCTCTACATGCCCAGAAGTTTGTAATGTTTATACTGAGACACCTATATTTTTTCTATTATGTTCTTCAGTAAATGAAAAACAAACATTATTTTTTGAATAAATATGGATACTGGAATTCTTTTTATTCACGTGCATTACGTGGCGTCCACTCGTATGTTGGTTATTTCCTTTTGCAACCGACTTCCCATTAAAAGCGAAGGGATGGGAAGGCACCGAATTAGATACGACCCACTGTATAGTACGAAGCTCGAACGATGACGTCATCCGCTTCCTCCGCACCTCGACCTGCGGAGTCACAAGCTCAAAAGTTTATTTTTAAATTTTCATATTCAGATTTCGTTTTCTATTTTTGATGTTATTTTAGAATCGTTTTTCCTATGTTCGGAAGTTCAGCTTCGTACCAAATATAGAAATAAACTTCTCTGACAAGGATCGATGCAGCACAGAATTGTGTATTTTTAGATGACATCAATGAACTTTGATGGCTGGAGTTGGCCAATTAAATGGGCTTCAGTATACATTGAGGATTTGAAAATATTGGGAACATGGTTATTATAATTGCTTTGGCGCAATATTACAATCCGATTGCTTAACATTACGTAAGTAATAGAAGAACGGAGAATCTTGTTCATGTGATACTTTTCTCAAAATAAATCATTTTCTTACATCACAATTATTACCAGTATTCAAATTCACGTTCTTTGCTCTTAAGACCAAAAGTATCAACATATTGTTGACTTCCACACGTATTCGCTCGCCATTTTGAAAATTAATGTTGACCAATTTCCAATGAATGTTTCAAGACTTAGTGTTACGACGTGGAAGCTAAATCTTCGTTAACTGTGAAGTCATTCAAGCTGATTCAAGTTCTTAGATCCAACATTTTTCACGGTACTTCCGAACATTGTCTTCCATGTGGTCAATATTTAAAAAATTGGATTTTGATATACTAGGTAGGACTATATTATTTGAGACCACATATTCTAATAAGTTTCCTTCTAATCAATTATTTCATTCGGAGAATCAAATTCTCTATCGAAATACAGACAAATAATTTCTTTTCCGGCCCCTAAAAATGAATATTTATTTTCTTTGTAATAAAAAGATATTTCCATTTGTACACTAAATATCGTTTCTTTATTTTTTATAAGTGAAATAGCATTAGTGATTGCAATTTTAGTTGAAATATAATTTCATGAATGATGAAAAGAACTGTAGGCCTTGTAAGAACTTTGTCAATCGATTTGCCTTGTCGAACGGACTTGAATGGCCTCTTGACCATCTCTGTAGGTAAATTGTTGGCTATCCGAGAGACGCCGCGTCGTTGGCTGAGAGGTCGACGTTTCGCCTGACATGTCGCAGGCTTCCTCGGGTTACTGCCCTGAGGAAGCCTGCGACATGTCAGGCGAAACGTCGGCCTCTCAGCCAACGACGCGGCGTCTCCCGGATAGCCAAGAATTCATGGCATCGACCCTCGGTAGCTTACGTGTGCATCTCTGTAGGTATCGCAAGTCACCAAAAATACGTTTTCGTTGCTTAATCACGTTTTTAGCGATGTCTTAGAATTTTTTGGATGAATCCACAAAAAAATGACTATTTCCCTGTCAGGAGACCGAGACGCGGCGAAAAGCCTCGTTTGCCTGGATTGGTGGACCGGACGTGCTCTGACCGCGAGAGACGATCGGACGGACGCAGGTTATTTGATTAAAGTATTCGAGGTTACCCATTTATATGCCATACTGCTTCCAAAATGATTTTGACAATTTGATGAGAAATTTAGCCGATGTGCCAGGGAAGGCGTTTGTACCAGCCGTGGACGCGTTTTGAATGCCTTTCGTAATCATAGTAGATAGTAAAGGATGAGACAGATTGACGTGTGATTTTAAAAGCGACGGCAATTTCGCTGAACTGCAGCAATGTTGTGGGGAGCGTCCTGCACTCTTTCACTTCCGGAGCGGTCACCTAGTTAGCAACGAACATCCTCTGACAGCGTTCTATCGAAACCGTAGCTTTTACGGAAAGGCTCGTCATTGGCTTTCGTAACTTTTTACATGAATAGTAATTAGATAGTGCAGTCAGCATATGCGAAAAAATCGCGGATTCAGAAATTTGAATAGATTTCAAAAAATAAAAGTTCGAAAGGCCAAAATTACTGTGAATTCCCGAAAATATAGTGCGTGTGAGAGTCGCGATTGGGTGATGCTCGCCGCTTGTATCTCGTTGAACGAACGTCATCGTTGAGTTGTACATTCCAGAAATTAAATTACAAAAATTTACTTTTCTCAAAAGCTTTATTTAGTACGTAACTAATTATGTGAGGGTAATGAATTATGAACATTATTAATAGTTCGTTTTTTCATCACTAATATTTTAAAATCTTCTCTTTTGCCCACTTTTGTATATATTCATGTTTTGTTTCTTCTTTCACAGAGCCATCGCCACGTCCAAGTTCCAGCCCACGTACGCCCGACAAGCTTTCCCTTGCTTCGATGAGCCCAGCTTCAAGTCGCGCTTCTCCATCCGGCTGGTGCGTCCGTCGAGCGATGGATACGGGGCGCTGTCCAACATGAACGTGGAAGTAAGTGCGCCTTTCGGCGAGGTGGGTGTAGACACGACCACGTCGCTTCGCAGGCAGTTGCTCCTAAGACCAGGCTACCCGGATGTTTACTACCTACTACAAAATTAACTGAATAGGTTGCACTCTGGGTGGTCATTTGGAAGGCGCAGGAGCAACATATTCATTGCTTTCCGTGCTTTCTGAACATCAATACCACGCGAATGGCGAAGTGCCTGGTTCCGTAATCACTGGCTCACAGCCTCTGTATAATACTTCATCCTAGTCAAATTCTTCTCACTGAACACACTACTCTCTTTTTTCTCTCTTTCTTTC